AATAATCATTCAGTTATTTCCGACTTAGTCATCGATAATGTTTAATTATTGGAAGTGATAACAATCCTGGTCCGATTGATCTTGAAGACAGCACTTTATTGGATTCGAGTAATTTAAGCTATTAACAGAGCATATAATCTTTGTATTTGAATGGCAGCAGCCAAAACAGCATTTTGATTTCACTGATGTTTCTCATCTTTGATTAACATTTTTGAAACATCTCACAGCAACAGAATTAATGGGAAGGCACAAGTATGACTGTTGACAAAGCAAATCTTAGATATGCCCATTAGGATGATAAACTTTATTCCGTTTAGAGCACACGGCCAGTTGACCTTATCAGTATGTCATTCGTCAACACCTTTTGAGTCTTTCCATAGTTTATTAAACGATTTTTTGATGCCTACGGCAGAGGAAGCAAAAGCTTTTTTAAATAATTGCATTTATTTACTCGCTCACTGTTATGACCTAAAAGGGTTTTGAAAAATATAACATTTTTCTCAGACCAACGGCATTCGTACCACAGACCAATAAAATCATAGATTTAATTTGATTTCACCAGTTTTACACACATGCATTACTGAACTTGCTGTTTCAGCCCAGTGAAATGCAATATTTTAAGCAATACCGATTCCCCAAACTTATTAAACAATAGCTAGATTTTGCCAGTAAACCGTCTTTTTCTCTCTATTTCTAATAATCTTGAGTGACTTTCAAATTTCAAGCGCAAATGGTGCTTATGGCTTGTATATGCTAAAGTTTTGTTCTGCATTTAGATTGGTAAGAAAGACTTTTAGCAGAATGGCTAAACAGACACCAACAACCGTTCAATTTCGTTGGCTTTTTCTATCTTTTTCGGCAAGCTCTATTTTGACCAACAGGAATACTATGGTTATAATTCAAAACTAAAAATGAATGAGCTTCTGCCTTTATCGTATTCTCTGGCCTCTTGTCAAATAAGACGCTGATCAATAAGTATTATAACTACAACACCGTTAGTTGCGTTGCGCTTCCTACCAATTTTTTTTTTGTATTCAGATATCATGACTGATTTTGAAAAGTAAGAGTCAAAATACTTTTACATTAGTTTGATATTTTAATTTTTTTATAGTAAAGCATTAATGCTACCAAGTTTTCCTTGACAACTGCGTCATTCAGCAAATACGCATTTCACAAATATTAGGTCATCTTGTGCATGAAAGTTTAAATTTAGTTTGATAAATCAGAAGGAATTGCAAATTTTGTGAAATAATCGATTGACTTTTTTCCTAACTTCAAATTTCATCAAAACCAAGTCAGGAAAATTGGTAAATTACTTTTTCAGTTTTAAAAAACTTTTACACTCACGCTCTATTACGGATACTTCAAAAAATTCTTTGTATGCTTTTTTCACTTCAGTGAATCTTCACTAATCTTTACAGTACATTGTGTCGGCAGCTTACGCAGCGCTCAGTGCATAACTAAGACAAATCTTAAGGCCCAACCATCTTGTCATTCGTTTCGGTAACTAACTATGGAATCATAACAGTACATTAGCAGAAGAAAAGTATTTTTTAGGAATTAGTAGATTAAATCAAGGGAGAATAATTATATTTTTTCATACTGTACTTTGTGCACTGTTCAAACAAGGTCATTTTTTATAAAATTATATAGCATTTGCTTTGTATGAGAAAATGTATAAAAATTGACTTCAAAAAACTACGCAGAATAGCGTTTAATTTAAACGACCAAAAAAGCGATCATCCTTGTAGACGTTGAAACTTTCAGTACCACATCAGAATAATTATTTTTTTCAGACAGTGCCTCAGGCTTTTTCAAAGTTGATGGAATGACAGAATTTGTAACCTGATATGCAAAATTAAAGAAAAAACTTCACTACTTATTAATGACAGAAACTGATGCTCCTTTCAAGATTTCAGGAAATCACGTTTCATAATCAAAGACGTTTCGTTCTGAAAAGCTCTAAATTGCATGATTATTTATGAAAAAAAGCATATTATGTACTATTATATTTTCAGCTTTAGTACAGAAGCATTAATTTAACACCTACAGAGAGTTCAGCTCAGTTTGAAAGCACCTTCTGTTAGTAATTAAGACAACGTCAAGTTATTTTACTGTACATCAGCATTGAACAACAGCTACTCACGTACAATTGATTGTACAGTCTATAGAGGTGTACTTGGTATTTATTTTAATTTTTTTAATGGGTACTGTTCTAAATCTACACAAATGCTGCTTATACAAATATATACAGAAATTGCTTACAGTAGTACTTCAAGATTAACGTTAGTGCATTCAGCTTTAAATGTTTCAGAAAAAATTTCTTAATTGTCTAAGTCTTTTGTGACAGTTTGTAAATCTTTAATAATTGCTGCTGGTTTATTTGTTATCTTGTATTTACTGTTGGGAGTTAGTCGCTTTTACGAATAAGTTTTTATGCGTAAAGTTTTGGTGGAAATTTCATGTATGCC